AGATCTTACGTGGAAGTCACATCATCGTCTACACCAACTCACTACATCGTAACAATTACCAGTGCATGATAGAGAACAAACTTAGGCTAGAGATAGAACAATATATTTAATATGAATAAAAGATATAAAGTAACGTTCAGCAGGGATCACGCTTACATGGCCGAGTCACGCCATACGATCAACTCCAAATAATTCAATCGATTCTTCCCACTTTCTTCATCGTCCAGTTTTTCTCCGTGGTAAATGCTGAATGTCCATTTCCCACATTGTCTCGTATTAGGGCCCAATGCCACAACAAGCTATTCACTAAAATCATCACTGTGTGTGAAAGAAGTAGTTCAAAAGAGATGGAGAGTTTTGTAGGTAATATATGGTTGGATGTCAAATGTGTTGGAATAAATTCAAGACGATTGTGGCTTCTATCCATTTGTGGTCAAAAAATGTTTTTGATTACTCGAACTCTAAGTTTCCGCAATCTATGGACGGTGAATGAAAGTCACTTACTTTAAGTCTTTTAAGTCTGTTTGACTAGAAATTAAATTTACCCAAAAGGACGTAATCCACTACAAATTATGGATAGTAGTATACTACGCATAATCTACTGTCATCCAGCAGATCAACAGCTTACAAGACCCTGAGTTGTGTGCAACTGTATAAACAGCTCATATGGTTAAGGTGGAATTGCTTGGTAGAATTATCGAGGTGATTGTTCGTTCGGAATTTAGAGTGCGGCCTTGGTTAGAAACAGATATCATTCTTGATGTATTCCGTTTATAAAAAAGAGTACAAACACCTAACGAATTAATAAATAAATCAACAAAGTAAAGTATATAGGAGCAAACTGGGCTACATAGTGGACAGTATTTGTCCTCACAAAGTAATTATATATATATATATATATATATATATATATATATATATATATGGAGCATTTTCTTCTTTTTGACCGGCGTACAACAGCATCTCTTCCGAGTCTAATTTTTTTATCCATCTATGGTCCGATAGGTTTCACTAGTTCCGAGAAGCATCAAGATGTATGTCCTCTTTTTCTCATCAATTTGGTTGACCATACTAGTCTCTCACACTGTCTGAAAATTCCATGTACCTATATTAATTATTGTTCTGATTGTTAGAAAGGACAGGAAGAATCGGCTTCTTAAATAGAACAAACAATTAATTCTTTTTGCGACTTTCAAATGACGTGAACTTGTTACATTATTCCACTTTAAACTGTAGGGTCCTGGTATGTCTGGGCAGTGGTCATATGGAAATTTAGCGATAAATTAAGTCCTAAATCAAATAGTTTCGTAAGTCTTTAGCATTACCGCAGACCTTATTAATTTTACTGTACACACCCTGACTGAATGAGCTCACTCAAGCATCCGCATCAAGATGGCCACGCACCCCTCGCTTCAACTAGTCAGCTTACACTACATGCTGCCCGAAACATCCACTGTCTTCCAAATATATCTTCGAAGTCCTCTATTCCTGACTATTGGTTTGGCTGGGCTTGGGATCCTCTGTTACAATCTCTTTAGGGACAAAAGCATTGTCAAGCCCTGAATATCCGTGACACTGACAAAGGTAAAGTTTTCCATCAGTGTTAACGTAGTCGAACATAGTTTGTGTTCAACACCACACTGCAAATAACATTTATGGTGGACATAGTACGAAATAAAGTTACCTCTTACTTACGCCTGTCCTAGCTTCAAAACCAGTCATTAATATCATCGGGGTACATTACAACTGAACATATATCATATAGAAATAGAAAACATGGTATTTTATCAAGACTATAAAAAATTTAAATTTTGGTGTCATTACACTCTCCAAGAAGACTTATCTAGGGAACACTGTTGCAATACCAGAAAACTTCCCCTCGACGCCAATAAATCCATTATGTTGATGCTACCACACAGTTGTCTATAAACAGCGTTCACCTGAAAAAAGAATCTGGGTTATGTCTCGTGCTTTAGGAAGGATATTGCTGTCCTGGAGCGTGTTCAAAGAAGGGAAACTATGAAGTTGCCTGGATCAAATGAGTATAATCAGCTGTCATAAAAGTTCTTGACTTCCAGTTAGTGCAAAATAGAGGGACTAAATGGAATAAGACCAAGGTGTATCATTTCGCTCGTAATTCCCCTCGTCATAACAAAACACTAGATCACTTTGTTACCAAATAAAACTTGAGTATACATATATCTAAGAAATAACATGGAAGAATCTGTACAAACTCCGCGCAAGCTTTCCGTGGTCAGAACAACGAAACTATGGAACTCATTACCAGAGGCTATGATAAGGACACCTGTCAGTCCTTTCACAAAATACTCTACATGTGCCACAAGTAATGAGGGAATTACGCTAAATGTTGTCGCTTCATCACTTTTGTTTTTGGCTGGGTTCTTAAGACCCTTCCCTTTTTAGAAGGAAAATAGTTTGTCAATCACCAACGTAGGAAATCTATGTGAATGATTGAGATAAACTGTAATTGGTCGGGAATGATGTCACATCTTAGCTTACGTAGAAATTACAAAATGCGGTTAATGAGTAACATGAACTGTCCTTTCTTCATATCCAGGTACTGTGGATACTTTGATGACCATAGGGAACAAACAAGATGTTGTGGAAGAACAGTATTAGTTAGAATAGATCAAAGAGACAGAGTGTGATCACTGCCGCATGTGCCTGTCCATGACATGCTGTTGATTGATAATTGTTGGTTGTCCTTGACTTTGATGAGGACCGATAAGCAATTCAACAACCAGAAATCTGCCTTCTGGATGAATTGGCTAGGGACCAGTGCCATTTCACTATCCCTACAAAATTAACCACATATTATTATACCCAGATACGGATTCGAAGGGACAAACGGTTCCGTGATTTTGCTAAGTAGGAAATGAAAGTTTAAATCACAATAGCTTGTTGTCATTAAATTGGATATTGGAAGTCTGCTTATTCTCTGAACGGTCTGCTTCAAATATGTGCGGTTCATGCAGATGTGTGAGGCTCGTACGTCAATCGAAATGTTCTTGTAATGCAAATTTTTATGGACTTTCAGACCAAACAAGCAGTTAGTTATCCTCCAATGTTTCTTCATTTAGTTTTTAAAGTTATTTAATGACCATGTCGTGCCTTATTATTACAGATGTTACTCATGAGTTGTAGAGTGATATATCACTGTTTATTGCAATAAACAGACGATCCAGTGTCTTAAAATTCCAATACCGTTTGAAGACTTATGTCAATACTTAGCTATGAATTAAAATCAATATATTCCAAGCATGATCCAGTGACCCTATATATTTTCGTAATATTATGGATTATATAATCCAACAACTTATTAAAGCAACTAGTTCACTATGTTTTATTCCATCATCGTGAAAGTGATGTGACTAGATTTTGTCATATTTCTCGGCAATTACTTCTGACAGAAATGCAAGATTACTGAGTATTCATATCCAACCAATGTTCATGTAGGTCCTTTGTTGTTAAGACATGGGGATGAATTTCACCGTTCTATACTGATCCATAAGCAGTCAATAACAGTGTACTACTCAATTACATATTTATAAGGTTCAAACAGTATATGGGTCCTGAGTCATGAGTTGCCTTAGTTTGATCTCTACGGTCAACATAATTGGCGTTACGTAGCTACTACTTTGTATGGTTACCCTATCCCTATTTGTCTAAAACAAGGTGCACCATACTACGTATATACAATATAATTGCTTTGTGAAAACGAATACTGTCCACCATGTAGCCCAATTTGTCCCTATCCACTTTTCTTTGTGTTTTTTTACTAATTCATGAGAATTTTCGACCGGACCGTGCAGAACAGAAAGTATGATGTAAATGTATTCGTTCAGCCTTTGCTACATCTACCTCACACATGTATTGTAGATTAAAAACTAACTATTTATAATGGTTTGACGACCATATAAGTATGGTTCGCGCTGTCGAGCTCACTGCTGTCACAAATCTCACTCTTAAATTCAAGTATTGACTTATTGGGATGCAGTGAAGTGTTAGAGAAGATATAAGGCCCAATACAGTGCCTTCTTAGTCCAAATTTTGATACTTTGCATCGTTATAGAAACACTTTCCAAACGTGATTAATGAACTTATGAAAAGTAGGGTAAATACAGATTCATTTCTTAATCTTTCAGATTTCGAACAATGTAGCAGTGTTGTGTTGGTTAAAGCACTCAGGTTTTAGAAAATAATTCTTAAGTTCCAACTCCACTTTGTTCTGGGCAGCCAGGTAGTTCCATTTAGCTTTACATAAAACAGTCTACCTCAAAGTCGGTTATAAACCCATACTTTGTAAATTAACCATATAATCCTTTCCTTTTCGTCTGTTTCTTGTTTAGTTTACGTGTAATATGATTGCTATTATTCGTTTTCTCCTTTTATCTTATTGATTTTCTTGGTTTCAGTATAGAATGTGACAACATAGGTTGATATATTATTTCCCTGGTTCTACATTACTTACAAATAAATTTGTGATTATATCAACCATTATTTGAATTTCGCCACTCAAAAAGCATCCACTATCTCAGTATCCACAGATTTCTTTGTTATTATAAAGGCTTAACTGAATCCGAATCTCTAGGCAGTTTATGCATGTGAACGACTAGATGCCGACTCAGTGATCTGAATGTTAAGCTCGCAGTATGAGACTTCTAGGTCTTAGGTTTGATTCACATTTAAGCCATGGATGCACGCTGGGAAGTCTCGTATTATGACGAGACGTTTGTCCATTGCTTCTTAGTTTTCAATAAGTAACTAAAACCAGTCTGCAATGTAAACTGATATTCAAGAGTCTATGGTCATCCTCTTGATTATAAACGACTACTTACACTTAATTGTTTTATTACTGACTGATCACGAGTTTTATATTCACTGTTGTATTGCCCTAATTTTAATTCGCTTTTGTGTTAAAAATAGTACAAAAGGTTCAGTATTCTCATCACGTTTAACGTCACTTTGGGGTGATAGTTATGGACGTCAGTGCCGATAAATCACCATTAATTCAGCCTGAAGAGACTTCAAACAAATCCAGTTTTCCTTCTATTACAGTTATCAAACCAAAACATCCAAGACGCTACAAACTTTTACCAAAAGACAAACTCCGTTTCCCTAAAAATGATACTTCAAATCAATTTTGGCGTATAAATGACTATACAAAACATATGCCTCTTATCGATGTAAATTGTGATGACGATAGGTTGGTTCTCTCATTTTCCTTATTAACTGTTCATTTATAAAAGTAGGTACCACATAACCTGTTCATTTACATAAACCATGTATATTAGACTTAGTGTCCTGTACGTTTAGTAGCAGTGTACAAATCCATCATTATAGATCTCTAGACAGTAATTCCGTAGAGTTAGGAACATAGATTTTGTTTTATATGGATACACTTTCCGTGCCCAGACAACTCCACATGAATAATCTGTTAGATAACACTTCGTTAAATATTTTTCAGCGTGATCATTCAAATAACTAATGCTGTATATCGAAAGTGGAAACTTTGTTGATGGAAGTTTTCGAAAGAGCATTATCAACTCATGTTATACACATTTAAACACCAGTCATTAAAACCCCAGTTCTGATATGTTTTAACGGTTAGCTGATGTATTTCACTTGACAATCGTGGCTCACAACTGGGTTCAAGTAATTTCATTTGGCCACTAGTGTTGCTTTTAGAAACTGCTAAGTTTACTTGTCTGGTGGAATCAATATTGGTTGGTTGCACAGATAGACGTCTATTAATCCATATTATTAACGGTTTGATAAATGCTGGTTAACATTACTTACTTACGCCTGTTACTCTCAATGGAGCATAGGCCACAGACCAGCATTCTCCATCCCACTCTGTCCTGGGTTTTCCTTTCTAGTTCGATCCAATTGTTCATTCTCATGTCTGTCTCCATTTCTCGGCGTAATGTGTTCTTCGGTCTTCCTCACCTCCTTTGACCTTGAAGATCCCATATGAGGGCTTGCCGTGTGACGCAGTTCGGTGATTTCCTTAATATGTGTTCTATCCACTCCCACCGCTTCTCCCTGATTTCTTCCTCCGCTGGGATCTGGTTTGTTCCCTCCCATAGTAGGTTGTCGCTAATAGTGTCCGGCCAACGGATCCGAAGTATTTTGCGTAGACAACTGTTAATATGCACTTGTATGTTCTAGGTGATGGCTTTCGTAGTTCTCCAAGTTTCTGCCCCATATAGTAGAACTGCCTTGACATTTTTATTGAAAACCCTGACCTTGGTGTTGGCTTACAGACAGTTGTTTTGAGTTCCAGATATTGTTCAGTTGTAAATATTTTGTTCTTGCTTTGCCGATCCGCGCCTTCACATCTGCCTCAGATCCACCGTGTTCATTTATGATGCTGCCCAGATATGTAAAGGTTTTTACATCTTCCAAATCTTCTCCGTCAATTGTGATTGGATTGGTGCATGCTGTGTTTTATCGGAGAATCTTGCTTTTCCCTTTGTGTATGTTGAGACCTACTGCTGTTGTGGCTGCTTCTACCCTGGTCGTCTTTTCTTGCATTTGTTATTGCGTGTGCGATAGAAGAGTCAGATCATCTGCGCTAGTTAACATGGCCTACACTAAGTGTCTGGGCACAATAGCAACACGCAATTTTTACGATTTCGGGTTTCTATTATTCGATACGGGATTTTTTGCTGTTCCTTGCTTCATGGACAGTTCAACTATTCTGATTACCTTAATAGGAAATAAATTATCAATCAATAATAATTTAAATAGAGTTGCCAAGAATTGAAACATAGTTTAACCTTCACACTTATTTTGGCAATATGCAGTCCATAAAATTCACTCGTTTACATTTATATACCCGACGTCAATAGATTACAGCGTTACTATTAGTCTTTTATGTAACACCTTTACTTATATACTGTAGTAGCCTTTATGAAGAATTATTTTGGAGTTTTTCATGGGGACGTTTTAATTGTTGAACTGATGAACAGAATAATGATTGATAGAAAAGGGATATACAATGTAGCCGACTGATAATTATTCATGAGACAATTATTGATGCAAGTAAAAGTAAATAATGTTAAGCGATAGCACAACTGGGCAACAAACAGCCTTTAAGATAATAACGTATTTATGTAAAAATGCTTAACATAAAAATAAACATGATTAAATGTCATTTTTACATCTGAAGGATTGTTTAATGCAGATTTTATAGATCACTCACTCTCTAATTGGGTATATATATATACGTAATATCACTATCATGTTTTTTTTCTGTTTTTTACAGTGAAGAGTTTGACGGCGCATTGTTCCAAAAAGTTGCCAATAAAGGCTTATGTGACTATTTAAAAAATGATCGACTGATTCATAATCGACCAAGTTTAACAAATACCGATAACTATGATGATTGGGATTTGCATCTTTCAACACCGGTTCAACACAGAACACAAATTTGTTGTCCATTCAATTGTACATTATCATGAATTTTAGAAGATAATACTCTGAAGATTCCTTTTTCTTTCATTTATTAGTTCTTATTATTTTGTGTCAATAATAATAATAATAATAATAATAATGCATTTTTAAGTGAGTATTTTCTTGCATATACAGGATTAATTTTAGATTCGTTTGTAACTTTTCCATTGTGTATTTTCATTCTTCTTATGTTTAACATATTTTTTTCGCTCTTTCTATTTTCAACTGCTTTAATGCTTTAGTACTTTTTATCGGTCTTAACACTTTTTATATATCAACCAACTAATACTGATAATATATGGAAATTATAGAGAATTAATGTTGTATCATTTCTGTTCGTTGCATAATTCACTTATAGAATAAAATTAATGATATTTTATACTTAACTATGTTTTATGATTAGTGTAATTCAATTATTTTTGTCTTGTGATATTCAACTAGTAAGTAGTTATAGTTAACAAAGGCATAAAGGATTAGAAATGACGATGATAGGTAACACTAGGCAACTGTTTAGAATTATCAAAAGAAACTTAACGTAGGAAGTCAGTCCTTAATAAGGGTTATGGGAAGATTCTGCTCTGGTACGACCGACAGTGAGGAGATTCAGCTCTCCCTCTTCAAATGCTCTCATATGACTACGCGTATACAACCACTGTCTTCTTGTGGTGGAGGTGTTGTTTACGATATTGAGGGGACGAAAAGCGAGTGTCCGGAGCTTTAGCCAGGTTGATGTATATGGAGGATCTAACTAGTGGATTTGGAACACACTGACTCCAAACCAGTGGTGCACATTGGCTCCAGGGTCCTGAGGGAACAAAAGGCGTATGAACCAATTACTGATCAGCGGCTACCATTACACTGTATCTCCTTACGTTGTTCCACTGCCTTGTGGATCAGACCTTTAGGTCGAAGGCTCCGTGTGTGGCCTCCTAAGAAAATCACCTGCTTCGGTTTGGGTACCTGGGCAGTATCCCAGTCCTCACACAAATTGAATGGTTTATGTGGAGCATATCTATTTGATGCTCTTTTGTACCAATATTTATGTGTTTAAATAAGTAAATAAAAATCATTGTATGGATGATGGACTGGAGAGCCCCTTAAGAAGCTGTTTAACTGACCTCCAGCTAATCTCTTATTCTCTTCCCGTAACCTAAAGGTGATATCAACATCTGGCTGTAACAAAGTTGAAACATTGTGGAGAAGCAAGATTTGATGGATTAATTCTTAGGGTATGTGTTCATGATAACAGTATTATCAATATCCTTGACGGACATATTAAGTAAAGCCTGGAAGTTGAACGTAATTTTGTCTGTCTAGTTGCGGCCGTTCAATACAGTATACAAAAAACATCAGATATCCTCTTGTAGTTACCACAGCTGAACTAACTGGATTAATAAAATTTGTAAAATATTAGCTTTTGTACCCAGTTGATACCACTTTTAGCTTATACATGTCAATGGCCAAATATACTAGACATATCCTTCTTCCGTATTGCTTTATGGTTGTGAAACTTGACTTCTGAACGTTGAGGACATACATGAATTGCTAGTATTCCATTGTCGGTGTCTCCAAAGTATCACTCGTGTTTGGTGAAGACGTTGGTTAAGTGCCTCTGAAGTTAGATGGTCTTTCAGACTAAACCTTCATCGACTATTCTATGAAATATCGTTTCTGCATGTGAGAGGGTCAAGTATAGTTTATAAATCTATTGAGCATAAGATCTTGTTGAGGTCTACAAGATCATCGCAGTTTGTATAATTGATAAAGTTATATCACACCTCTCTCAAAGTCAGTTTCAATGGACCAAATACGCTTATTTGATACACAAATAAGGAAGTGTAGTTGTAAAGAGATGGCGAGAGAAATATAGTGAATAAATAAAAATAAGTGAATGGGTGTAGTGTATAATTAAAGGAACAGATCAGTTAAAATACAACCAGAAAGAATCCTTTTAGTTGAGTGAATTGCTTTCACTTTTATGAGGAATGTAAAGAAAAATTACGGTAGGGTCTACATTGGCTTCTGCTCTGAGTCATATCTAATAACGTCTCAAGTTAGTGAGTTGCTCTACCTCTCGAACCCCAACCAAGGTGTCATGAAGAACCGATAGATGCCAGTCTAATACAACTTTCATACCGCGACCCCACGTCATAGACTGATTACCTCATCACTTCCCCCAGCGTTGACAATTAATTCCCGACGTGGAAGTCTCTGGGATGACACTTGTAGTATATGTCCAAGCCATGGAAGCCGATGTTTCAAGATAGCAACATTGAGTGAGTCATTGTCACTGTTCTTGAACACATTACCAAATCTCAATATTACTAACGTGTTACTGATCGCCAGTAATTCTTCGAGGACACCGATGATCGAACACAGAGTCCCCAAACGTCCTTAGCTCGTAGAAGCCAGATTTTGTAATCAAATGCCAGAACTTCCCTCACCAATGCGAGACTAACATCAAGAAGGAGATAAACATGGTTCAGATCGGTGTTGAGTACCCTAGATTTTCTCAGGATTATTTCGTACTGTTTACTACTCGGGTTTAATCATTCTTTCTGATTTATATATATTTTTATAAACACTAATTTTATCATTTAAACTCAATTGTATTCCAATTTGTTAATGTTTTGTTTCATTCATTGTGCCGATATAAATTGTAACAACTTGATGCATATATTTTACTAGTAGTTACTTTACCTATTACTAACTACATCATTCAATCAGTTAATATCCGATTATGGATGTAAATTCATCGTATTTATGTAATAATTGAATGGAATTCCAGTTCAATGTGTCATTATAAGAAACTCATTGGAATATAACAAAAATATGTTTATTATTAACAGATAAAGGTCTCTTAAACTTATTGGTTAACTTTTATCCAATACTTGTGATCTGTATTCTCATACATCGATCCGGATATACTTAGTCTTATAGATGAAGAATAAAGCTCAATACCTTCGACACTGTGAAGCTTTAAACATTCAAAAGTACACTGTTATAGACAAGCCATAAAGTTTTGCAGTTACAGAATTTGAGATGCTTTTTTGCATATTAAAACACTACTCATAAGTAGCTCATATGATCTGGTTAAATTTCGAAAATTACCATTGAACTTAACTCCTTAATTAAACGATACACCATGGATAATTTATTCCCACTAGTTAAAAATGGATTTTTGTTGAAACTGAGAAGTTAGGTAAAAGTGTGAAACTTTTAAATTTCGGGATTCGATATACATATATCCCTCTTATGTAATGATTAAATCCTCGGTTTGTAAGGACTTTATATTTTTAAAATTAAAAGTTTATTTGGCTGATTGACTGTTGCAATTTATTTTAAAGTCCGTAAATTACAATGAATTAATAATAAACCTGTTACTCAGCTTTGTATTGATCATTATATGAATTTGATTTAGGAGATAATTTAGACTTTGAAAATGATTATGAGGAGGATGACGAAGATGATGGATCTGTACATGAAGATGATGAAGACGATGGTGGTGATGTACATGGAACAACTTGACTAGCACTTTGACTAACACTAGATATTTCACCGTCATCTGAACTAATATATGCAGAACATTTAGTTTGCATTAAGATGTTCGAATAAACTGACAAAGGATGAGATGGAAAACAATGAGTTGTTGTTGTTGTTTTTATTGCTGTTGTTATTGTTGTAGTGACTCTAACTGGTTCAATTGTAGTCAAATGATGATGATGGTAAGTTGAACTTACAAAACCAGAAATAAAATATTCACGTGAATTTGCATTTAATTCAACATACTCTTACTTTGTATGCATATAAGCATATATGTTTTCTAGTCTGAATAACACGGAATAATGTAAGGTATTTTCCTAATCTTTCAAGGATTTCGATTAGTAGTTTAGAGAATAAGTTAAAGTTCTGTATGATCAAGTCGATTTTATAGCATATACAGTAGCCACGTTTGCAGACTTATTATAATGGGCATAAGCGAAATAAATTGACAACAATAATAATAATTGATCCTATTATTATTATTATTATTATTATTATTATTATTATTATTATTATTATTGGCTTTATTCACTATTATATTTTTGGTGCAATATAGAATTCCCAGCACAAAGTATTTCAACAAGTTTCCGTTTCTTACTTCTTGGTCGATCCTGACGATAAATATTGAGTGGTCGCCAGTTAGATGTTCACAGTTCAGGAATCCACATCTGGCATGGGAAACGGCATCTGATTAATGTATATTTTTTCCGATGCATATTGCCAGCAACCACGATATCTCTGATTGGGCTCTTTTGTAATGTCGTAAACTTCTCACAAACGTACTTGAATAGGTTATGCGACTAACAGGCATAATGATGTATTAAAACACGAGAAAACAGATAAATTTTTGAATTATCTAGATGGCAGGAACAGGTAGCCCAGATATTTAAGCGGGCATTTCTTAAATATTTAAATGAGTTCAGCTAGTAAATAGCTTATAAAATTATTAAGTCACTTAACTGTTTTAGGACTAAAGTAGCTCCAAGAACTTGGTAAAAGGTACCTATATCTTATCCTCAAGTGGATTCCAAGTGATATCTATATGGATCAGCGTTCAATTATGATATGCTCTAAACGGACGACCGTAAATAAGTACGATGAAAAAATGTAAGTAAACAAGACAATGGTTTACAAAGCCTATAGATATTTGAAGGAAACAGTTTACTATTGTGTACAAATAAAATAATATGGTCATAGTTAGAGCATGTAACTACTTACTAGTAACTAGTTATCTTGCTATCTATTCTTTAGTACTAAATGAATCCTAGTCATCAATTTTCAATGATAAGTTGTTGTGTTTTTCTTTGTTAACCGTTGACAACATAGAATCTCTTACTACATTAACACTACTAAATGTTTTAACGAATTAGATTGTGGCAGGTTGAACCGATAAATATTTACCTCTGGCTATACATTTTGTTTCTGATCAACTAGTAGACTAATAAATACTAAATTCGATTAATTT